GCAGGCTCAGCGGCCATGGCTCACGGGCCCAGCCGCTCCGCGGCATGTGGGGTCTTCCCGGACCGGGGCACGACCCCGCATCCCCTGCATCGGCAGGCGGCCTCTCAACCACTGCGCCACCAGGGAAGCCCGAGAATGCCCTGCTTTGGTTAAGGGGATCATGAAAATTCTCTTCCAGGAGGGGACATCTGAGCTGAGACCTGAGCGCTAAAAGGATGATGGCCATCAGATCTGGGGGTCAAGGATCTGGCTGGAGGGAGGCTTGCAGTGCTGCAGGGGACTGTTGAAGGCCAGTGTGCTGATCATGGCGAGGAGCCCCCTCACACAGGACCTTGTAGGCTATGGTTAAGAATTTGGTTTTATTCTAAGTGCGGCGAGGACACCTCCCCTTGGTTTAAGCAGAGGACTCACGTGACAACATTTCACAGACCTCACTGGGTTGGTCAGATGGAGAGCAGACAGTAGGGGGCAGAGTGGAGGCAGCGAAAGGAGTTAGGAGGGTTTTCTAGCTGAGGCCACAGGTGGCATTTTGCACTAGGATGGGCCAGGAGGCACGTTGTATTGGACGAATGGGTGGGTCTGGCAATCACATATATCAAGCTCTTCTCTGGGTCGAGGCCTATGCAAGGCCAAGAAAAGCACCTACTAAAGAAACGTCGGCGAGGTACAGTTCTTGCCCTCAGCTTACTGAGTGCTGAATTACAGGAAACTCAGACCACACATATTAAGGTGCCGGGTAAACACAAAGCAACCAATAAGTCAGTGCATAGGAGTGGCTGACTAGGTGCAGAAGGGCGACTGGAAACAGTAACTGGCTACCGCGTCAAGAGGAGACTTTGGAGCCTTCTCCAGACGGGCGGGGCAGCTCGTTTTCCAGCGGGCAGCGGCAGCGCTGCCTCCCCGCCCCCAGCCCACGGCCCCGCGTGGCGGCGGGGCCTGGATTGTCCAAGAACTTGGCTCCGGGCTCCAGTTTCCCAACTCACTCGCAGCTCAGAGAAGCGGTGACTCAGGCGAGGGCCCTCCCGGCACGCTGCGTTCTCAGCCTGCCTGCAGTGACTCACCACCTCGCTCCCTCCCTCACTGCTGACCCCGGGCCAATCCCTTAATGAGTCTACGCCCCACTCTTCTCACTTGGCCGGGACAATTGCCTGGTGGAGTTTTTAGCTCCCCGGGGGCAGGGCTTCTGTCAGCAACCGTCCAGGTTCCTCGAGAGAGGCTTCTCGTAGGGTCTGGAGGAGCATAAAACCCTTGGGTGGACCCGAAGGTCCCAGGCTCTCCCCGTGCACCGAAGGAGGGCTTTAATGCCTGTGCATTCTTCTAATTTCAGAGCCTTTCAACAGCATTTTATACCGAATACAATTTCGCAAGTCTTGGTGTCCTGGAGGAATTTTCCCTTGGACACCTCTTGGTCAAAATTTGCTTGGGGGAAACAAAAAAGCAACCAGAGTAGGCCCCCAAAGTCTGCAAAGCAGAGACCAGTGGCAATGGGAGGTAAGAGTGCGGCGGACTGGCCAACGGGCCCCGGGTCAAGGGGACCACCGCGCGAGGGCGCGGGCGGATGCTCTGCTCGCCCGCGCAACCGAAAACGGGCGGCGAGTATCGCGAGAGGGCTCAGTTCCCCTGCAGCGAGTCCTCGGGCAGGAGCAGAGGCCCAGGCGGCGGGCGTGGGCTGCGGGGTCGCTCGCTTGGTTCCCCGGCTGGCATCTCGGCGCCCCTACTTCCAGCGTGCCCCGTCGCAGCCAGGCGACCTGAGCGTCCCCCAACCAGCCTTGGGCCGGAGTGCTGCCCGCGGTCCTCCGCTCGCCCGGCCGCCAGCGCTCGCCGCCCGGCTGGGACCCGGCAGGTGGACTGCGGCGGGCGCACCCTCCTTCCGGCCCCGGCCCCTCTCCCGGACCATCCCTCGAGCCCTGGCGCGCCTCTGCTTCCCGGCCAGAGCTTGCAATCTGCGCCCCCGAGTTACCTGCCTCGGGAAGTCCCAGTTCGCAAGCAGCCCGGACTGTAAAAGGGTGGATTCGGCAGAGCCCAAAACCACATTCCTAGGGGAGGGGTGGGGTCCCCATCTAGAGGGTCGCGGATCGCATTACCGGCCGAGGGGAGGAGACAGTGGAAAGGAGAGTCAACAGGGGTAAAAGTTGCTTTTCGCTGAGTACTCCCCCTCCCCCTCCCTAACGCGCTGCGAGGCCGGTTGGCTCGGGGACACGGTGTCCGCCCAGGTTCCGGAGCCCGACGGCCCCGGAACGGTTTGGCAGGACAGAGGCATCTTTACATCTGCGGATGCGGCAGTCAGAGCGCCGGTTGGTCTGCAGGGCTGCCGGGCTCCAGGGCCCCGAGGGCGACCCCCGGCTGCCCGGGGGCGGGAAGCAGAAGCCCGCCTCCGGGCACCGAAGATCTAGAGCAATAACAGACGCATAAATAAATCAATGAGCAGCTCTTTGCTGCCAGAAGCAGGGAAACCTCGGGCTGATTAAGTGCAGACGTGGGGTGTCTGCCAGGACAGGAGGGCGGCGGGGTACAGGGAACCAGCGTGGAGGCGAAGGGTGGGGGGAAGGGAGGCCGGGGCAGGAGCGACGGGAAAGACCCAAAGCCACGTTTTTAAACATGGAGGGGGGGAATTTTAAAGGCAAACAGTACGGGGGAGGCGGGGGCCGGGCTGCGGGCCTCTGGGCCTCCCAGCCACCCGGGGCAACTTTCCGGGCGGGAGGTGCGGCCCGAGGGGCGGCGCCGGTGGCGGGAGGCGGGAGTCCGAGGCCGAGGGAGGGGGGGGAGTCACTTTAAAGGCTCTTTCTTACCCATAATGCTTTGTGGGGACGTTGACAAGTGGATCCAAGATGGCGTAGAAAGTAATGACAGGTAAGTCCTGACTTCCCCCTTCTCTGCTGCTGGGACCGCTCCGCGAGCTGCCGGAGCCCTCCAGAGAGGGGACCGGACTCCCCTCCGGTCCTCCGAGTCCCGGGAAGGGCGGCCCCGGGGCGGGCCTGGGGCCCGGACGGCCCGCGGCGGGGCCTGGGAAGCGGGGCTCTTCGAGGCGAGGCCCGGACGCTGGGGCTGTTTACAGCTTCTTCCCCTCCGTGGCCCCCTTCCCCTCCGCTGGGGGCCGCGGAGCCCTCGGCCCAGGCCGTGGAGGGGGCCTCGCAGACCCCGGCCGCGAGCCTGAGGGAGGTTTGTCCAGCCCACGGCACTCCGGGAGGGGGAGTCGAGCCGCCTTGCACGCTCGCCTCCTCCGGGTCGCGGCTGGGGGTGGGGAGCGTGCAGGCCTCCCACGCCCCGCTCGATTGCCCCCTCTGGGCTCGGACTTCCACGCGGGGTGGGGCGGGGGCCGGAGGGTGGGCGCGGGGAAAAGTGGGTCGGGGTGCACCCCTCCCTCCCCCGCCGAGGGCTGTTGCCTGAGCTTCACTTTCTTTACCCCCTTTCTCCGCCCCCTCCTCGGAAATTCTCATTGGCCCACAAGCACATCAACAAAAATAAAAACAGAGGATCCTTTCCTGGAGATTCCTTCAAGACTTCCCTTTTCTTGAGCTAAGGGACAGCAGTTTTATCTAAGGAACTTTGATTGCTCTCCCCCCAAATTATTTGAGTCTTCTGCACCCTCCCCTTTGCTGAGGATCCTCCAGCCAGGGTTGGAAATCAGGGTCTTAGGATTCTTCTTGGATTGAGACCCTCAGGTTTTGTTTGAAACTCAAAATTGTTGTTCCTTCACCCTCACCACTTACACTTTTCAGGCAAATCGTTAATAGATAGATGTGTAACTCCAGAGACAGTGGATTCCTAGAGTTGGGCGGGGGGAGGGGGGAGGAAGGCGTCGTCCTGGCGAGTTCTTAATTTTGCCCTCTCTTAAACTCGTATGAATGGATTTCTTCTCCTTCATCTTTTCTTTTTTCTCCTTTTTTTCATTTCATTTTTTGAAAGTAAGGTCAGTCAGATATGACATTTTTATGTTTGGATTTTAAGAGCACTTTATAATTATTCTTTTATCACACAGAGAGGAAATGTTTTTGTTTTAAAGTAAAGCAAACAGACTCACTTACAAAGCTGCATACTGTACCATTTTGGTAACTTTTTCCATTTGAAATTTATATGCCCTTTCACTTCAGGCTGATAGATTGTTTGCTACTTATCATGTCTCTTACTGGTGTTGTATAGACACATTATACTTTTCTGTTTATCTCAGGAATTGGATGAAGTAATTGATCACTAAAGAACTACAGTGCTGGTGAGATGTGTAAGGTGAGACTGCAGTTAAAAATGATTTACCTTTTTTCCTTCTTTATTTTAATCAAGTCATGAGGGTGAGACTGAAACTAAGTAATTTGATGGGGCCATCTTTATTTCCAAATCACTCACTCAGTCAAATGGGAGTAGAGGCAGGGCTAGATTTGGAAAGGACAACTGTGTCAAGTATACCAAACTTTTCAGCTACTGGAGCTTATCCAGAGCCAAATGTTATTTGCAGCCATCCTTGATTAGTATCTTCACCAGGGGTAATTATAGTTTGCCTATTTAAATTCCCTTGTGTAACTTTAATTGAATGTCTTAATTTTATCTGTGCTTTGGTGTCCATCACTTAGTCTGCATTGAGTGTTAGTGATTGTGTATGTGGATTTTGTGTGTCTACAGTTTGTGGGACTCATGTAAAGTACACCCTTTCCATTGGAAAGAATTATTTCAGGCAAATCCTGCTTTTATTTTCTGAAAAATGGAACAGTGCTTGTCTCTCCCATAATTACTTGGAAATAAAAATGATAGTGTTGCATTTTGGTTATAGGTTATTAAGGATGAGACTGGCTTGTCACTATCTTCTGGTCACATGTAGTGTGTGAATTCAGAGTGTTGCTTTATTTAATCTAACATAAGGCTTTGGATTTATAAAACATTATTAATATAGTGTCAATGAACAGTCAGTATTCTGTACTGGTGAGAAGGAGAGTGGTTTGCTAATTTTACATTCTTCACAAGCAATTTTCTCAACTTTAAAAATATATCTATTTATTTTTTATTTTAGTCATTGTAGATGTGCTATACTACAGTGTGTGTGAGTGTGTGTGTAAAATATTTTACTATGGTTTATTGAGAAAATGTAAGTTGTTATGGTAGATTGGTTACTGCAGGGTTTTGTTTTTTTTTTCCTTTAACACATCTGGGTAGCCTTTGAATTTTGAAGTCCACTCACAAAGTTTTCATCTCTATCACACATCTGTTTAAGAAGAGTAAGCTGTGCTTTATTTTATTCCAGATTGAGGCATACAATTGACATTTTTGCCTTAAAAAAAAAACTTGGGAGAGGAAGGTGGACATAAACCAAGATCTTTTTGTAAGTGCACACACCACATTTGCTTGTGTTTGAAACTCAGAAGTGCTTGTGTGTATTACATGTATTTTTATTTTTATTCTTAGCAGAGCAAATATGGCTTTTAAAATTTATTTTCAGCTTACAGATGGAGGCATATTCATGCCTTAGACCTCCCAAACTGTACCTTTTATCTTTTTTTTTTTTTTTTTTAATACATATTACTTTGTGGAAAGAACCAATGATCTACTTTTGGGCCTATGGAGATGTTTGTTTATAATCCAAAAGGGAATATTTAGAAATAGGTAATCTTGTGTGGCTAGTGTTGTTTGGCCTGAGCTGTGTCAAGACATTTTCCACTATTTTCACACGTGTAGACCATGTGAAGTGTTAGTATTCACTTCAAAGTGAAGTTGGTGGTTGGCCACCGAACAGGTTGTCACACAAAGCATTCTAAAATGGGAAATGCCATAGTACTGAAGTTTGTGGTGAAGCGGGGGTCTGTGTCTGAGCTGAATGAAGACACAGTTTTTTTAGTCCTTTTGGCTGGGAAGCTGGGACACTATTTTTAGGTAAGGCGGGAGTTTTGGGGAGCCAGTAAGTGCCTCTCTATCAGCTGGTGTGCTTGATTTTTGCAGTTGTTAGCAAGAAGTTTCATTTCTAATACCATAAGTATTCAATCTACATTGTTTTAAAGTCTGTATACATTTATGGACAGTCCAGTGTTTTACTGGAGAAGGGAGTGTTGCCAAAATAACAGGGGAAATCGTTCCTACTTGCAAAGGGCCTTGTGTAGTTTAAAAATATAGAGCATATTTATGAAAGGCTAAGAATATTGCAGAGGGACCTACAAATAAGTAGACCAGATCTTACACATGCATTTTTGTTCTCTGTTTAAGAAGTAGGCATGGTATTGATATTAAATGCAAATTAGCCTATAATTATCTGTCAGACTATATTTAAGATTCTAAATACAGGCCCAGCACAAGAAGTAAGGTCCTTTGCCTGTTGTTTTAAATGCGTAGGAGTTTTAAATGCATAGTAGATTTGGGGCCAAGTTTATCAACTTGTCGGTAAACAAGAGATGGGGAGGAGCTACTTAAAAAATTATAAACAAATTGTTATGGCTGTTTATTTCCATAAACTTAGATAAGTATACATGCAAATATAATTTGATTTCTAAGTAATAGTTTGAATTGTTTTCTAGGAGAGAAGTATGATATGTGTGGAGAGTGTGGCCACAGCAGCTTGTAGTTCATTTAAATTGCTGGGTGTAGTCAGGATGACTTCGGTAGCATTGGCTAGGAGCAGCGTAAAACTTAGTGGTCTGTCACTTCACCAGTGGCTGAGATTATCCTGAATTTAATAGAGTTAATATTCCTCTTTCAAAAATAAATAGTAGATATAACATGAAGGTTTTTAATTTATATGTATATATATGTGTGCATATATATTTATATATGTATATATCTTCATTTTAAAAGCTACCAACTGTATAAAGCAAATTGAAAGTTTTTCAGCATACTACTAAAGAGTCATACCAACTTGTTTACTGGTGTAAATTGTACTGGGTCAATTTCTCCAAGGGCAGGAAGTTGTCTGGTAAAGCCAGAATTTGTGTGTTCAAGTTGTTTTGACCCCCCAAAACTCTGATTCATCATTAGGTTCTTCAAAGAATGCACGGCAGATTTTTTTGAGTAAACCATTGTGACGTGTGAATGTTTGTGATTTTTGTTAATTCTGTGCCATATTTTAGGTGTTCTCGGAACATCTGAATTTGCCTTTTTGCTTTCTTCTGTCGATATTCTCCTTGTGGTGAAAATATTCCTGTGAGGCGAGCTTCCCTTCAGTAGGCAATATGTGTAACTAATATAGTTAAAAAAACTTTATTTTTATGTAAAACTGATGCATGGTATGGTAAACAAATCCGAGCAATGCTAAGTGTATATAGGAAAAAAGATAAAAAGCCTCTGCTCTCCTTCCTCCATCTTTAGCCATGTCCCCGTAATCTGACCTTAGAAAGCAGTTGGTGTTAACTTGGTGTTTGGAAGACCTCTCTTGCCTAGGTGCGCGGGCAGTAGTGAAAGCAGTGGGAGAAGTCAGGGAAGGCACGGCCACTGAACCCGTTTAGATGTTAGCCCTTATTTCCTGTGATGTTAATTAATATTGATAATCTTAAACTTCCATTAGTTTAAGATAACTGTAATTGAATTGTTAGTGAAACACTCAAACAGTTAATTGCATTGTCAGGTTGGTAAAGTTCTGATTTGTTGATCTTGTAAGGAAATAAATATTTGGAAATTGAATTCACATAACCTTAGGGCTGGGAGTAATGTTGGTAATTATCATCTGTGGAATTTTATGATGAGATGCACAGTATACTTACTATAGGCTTTTTATAACTCATTATCTTTCCTTTAGTTTTCAGAACAACTCCAAGATAGCTGTTATTTCTGCTTTGCAGAGGAAATTTAGGTTAAATGTGAATTAACGAACATAACGTCGCAAGACTAGTAAGTAGCGGTGCTGGCGTTGTGCCTTGGAAAGGGCGTTCTCTTTCCATTGCAGTATGCTCTGCTGCTTCTATCTAGTCTGTGTTATTTTCCAGATGAGGAAATTGAGGCCTGGAGAAGTCAAGTGACTTGCCCAAGGTCACACAGCTGATTAGTAGCAACATTAAACCAAACTTTTATCTCTGGACCCTTATCTCAGGACTCTTGGTCCTGGCTGGTTATGCTACATTTTATTGAAGTTCTGTGGACCAAAGGACCATATGCTGTGACCACTGGATACAAATGCTTCAGAACTGATACATCAGCAGTGGTGTTTTCTAGTATGTATTAAAAGGTTCCTTCTCTCTCTTTCAGAAATTATAAAGAGCTCTGATGGGCTATTTGGGTGATACCCAGTGCAGTGAACTGCAGGTGAGTAAGGTCTGGGAGAGCCTTATTTACAAAGCAAGGACTTGGTAATGCCTGAGGAAAAGACAAAAGAGACTTAATCTAGAGGAGGGTGTCTGGTCAGCAAGATGAGGCAGTGGTGACCTGACTGAATTGGCTACTTCTGGAGCAGACTGGGTGATGGTGGACCTACTCCAGACAGACTGCCTGACGCTTTGTCAGTTTGTTTGAAGAGAAGTGAGGGTAGGTTAATCTTCCACTTCTGTTTTGAATGAGTAACTGCACAGGGATTCAACCTATCTGCATATGATTGGATCTTCAGAGGTCCTTCAGTTTCTGTGTCAACATTCTTGAGTGTTGATCACCCAGTGCTCTGCTGAACGGGTTAAGTATTAAATTGTTTGTTTTTCCTGTTATCTACTATGTGTGTATTGTCATGAATGACTGTATATATCTGCATTTTTGAGGATCTAGATGCCAAGAACATGTCAATGGAAACAAAAGGTTCAACTTTTTTCCTAATGGTTGTATTAGTCCTTCAAATTATTTGTTTTTTGCTGAAATGCCCTAAGAATGACATTCTAGTCTTGACTATTTATTATTTCACAGTAATTAATCTTCTTGGTCCATTATAGTATCTTGGCCATTCAGTATTAAACTAAGAAAACAGTAATACTACAGAAAAACAATTAGAAGGCTGTTTTAATATTGTCCTTGTGGGGCATCAGTGCTAAAATTATTTTTTGATATTTTTTTAATACTAGTCCCAGAGACTTTAATGAGACAATGCTATATACTTTTAGGGTTTATAATTAAACTTAGGCTTGGCTACTTATTGATTGCTAAAGTAAAACATTGTTGTAGGGGTTCTTTGTTTCTTGAGTTAGGGTAGTTTGCACATTCATCCCCTGCAGGTTCATGGGGGTGATCAGAAGACTAGTTGAGCTGGTTTCTTGGTCCTTGGAAAGCTGGGGTCTGGGTTGTCATAGGTCATTGTGATAAGAAGTGCATGAGCGTTCTCAGTTAAGGCCAAAGTGAGCAGTAAAAGAGAGGTGTGGGCCTCTTCCTGAGACTATATCGAGTTTGCATCCTGGGACCCCTAGTTTCCTCAGTATGGTAGAACTTTCTCTCTTAAATTACAAAATAATTTAAGAATTGTTACTAAGTAAATTGTTAAATATTTGGGTTACTACCCCTAAAACAGTTGATTTTCTTTTTGGCATTCTTAAAATATATATATATATATATATATATATATATATATGTATATGTATAGATATCTGTCTATCTATATATATACACACACACATATATATTATTGTACTCATTTTTAGTTATGATGCATATAATTTGAATTTTTCCTATTTATTAGATTATGAAACATTTCCATGTTATAGTTGTCACAATTTTAATTGACATGATTACACTTTGAGAGGCTGCAAAATATTTCATCAAGTCATGCCGTCAGTAATTTACTTAAATCGTTTTATGTTAGATATTTATGTTGCTGGCTGGTTTTCAGTTAATACTTGAATCTACGTTACTGTAGATATTATTGTATTTTTTTTCTGGCTAATTATATCTCTAGGATAAATTTTTGAATGCATTATTGTGTTAAATGGTATGAATGTTTTTATGGCTTTTGATATATATCGCCATACTGTTTTTTAAGAATGTTATACCAGTTTGTACTACTAACAGATATACAGATGAACCTGTTTCACCATAACTGGATATAAATACATTTTTTCCTTAAAAGTTTTTGCTTACTTAATAGTGTAAAGTGGCATTTGTACTTCTTTGTTCTATAATGTTGAATTTTTCTCTTTGAGTCTCTTCATGGTGAATTGTTTGTTCATATCCTTTGCTATTTTAATCAGTAACTATCAATGTGGGCTTTGGATGGTAAGGCAAGTATAACCAGCTAATAAACAGGTGATTATTAAAAAGATGATCAGAACATGTTCAGTGAGAATGTTCAGAGAGATTCTAGTCTGGATGGTAAATTTTCTTGAGAATAGTGGTTGAAGGGGAACAGGTGAGTTATTCCAAGATTCAGTTCAGCAAATGTTTAGTACGCATCTGTGTGTACCACGTGTTGCGTCCTCTTAGTGCTTCTCAAGTCATCATGGCATATACTTGGTTGAAGGAGGAGGCTGCTTGAGGCTGCTTGAGGCTTGACTTGTTGGGACTTTGGCTGCTGAAGTCGCTTTGTGGAGGGCTGAGGGGATCACCGACTACAACATCTTTAGCTCATTCACGGCATGCCACAGTGCCACGGCACAGTCTTTGAGAAGCTCTGTTCTGAAGGATACAAAGATGAATAAAACATCATTTCCTCTGACAAGGAACGAATCATCTAGTAGAGAGAGTAGGGGCACCAAAACAAGAAAGGACTAATAGGAATTTGAAGGGTGCTGTAAGAGGGGTTCAGACAAGGTGCTTAGGGGTTCAGTGGAGGGAGTGATACTGCCCCCTTGGGGATATAAGGGAACACTTCAACTGAGGAGGTGGCATTTAAATTGCACCACTGCGAAATTGAGACGCCATGGCAAGAAGAGGGCATTCTGGAGGGAAGGGTAGCTTGAGCAAAGGCTGAGGGGTGGTGTTGGAAATGAGGTGGCTGTCCGGAAACTGCGTATCCAAATTACCCGGACCCTGGGTTACCTGAAGGAACGTAGCGGACAGTGCGGCTGTTGAGAGGTCATGACTGGGTTTTGGAGAATGAATATGATGGATTGTCAGTGAGGAGAAACTAGAGACAGCGTTTTCAGTTGGGTTCCTGGTACTACTCCAGGTGAGGGATGAGTGCCTGAGTTGGTGTACTTGGGGATGAAAGGAGGTGGTGGAGTCAAGAGGTATTTTGGAGGTTGAACAGAGAGATGTGGTGACTGATTAGGTAGGAGGGGAAGGGAACAGTCAGTTCTATGTCTCAAGTCAGAGGTGATGCTGAGGTTTTTATGGTTGGATGGCTGGCAGAATGGGGGCGCAGGAATACAGAAATCGGGAGGAAGAACAGGCCTTAGGGGTTTAGAATAGAGAAAAGACGAGTTTGGTTTTGTGTGTTGAGTTTAAGGAACTAGTAGAAAGGTGAAATCAGAATCTTAACCCTGGAAGGAGCAGATGAGGAAGTTCAGGGCCCAGAGGAGCTGTAGACGGACTGGTGAGGTCTCACAGTTAGATAAAGCGGAATGTAGACTGCAGCTGCCTTGATTCCCAGTTCAGCACTCTCTTCACTGCCTCAGACTGAGAAACTTCTCTGCTGCGGTGTTTTCCTCGCACCCAGGTGTGCTCAATAGGGAGTTGGAAGTGGCAGAGCTTATGTTGGGAGTGAAGAGTTTATTTTTTAATTACACTTTTTTTATTATGGAAAATTCCAGATGTATAGAAGTGGAAAGGGTATAATCAGTCCCACTGTACCCATTGTTCAACTTTAATAGTAACTAATGTTGTTTCACCTGTTTCCTCCCTCTCCATCAGTTATATTGAAGCAAATTGGATAAAGTGTTTTGGTGAACCTGAACTCTGGGTATCTGTAGTTGAGGAGAATTGAACAGTTCAGTAGGGTATGTTCTGAGCTTTCTGGGTGGGGGTCTAGAGTGAACAGAAGTAGTATTAATTGCCAGGATTCCTGGGCACGTCACTTACGTCTTCTGAGCCTTCGTTTGTCTGTGAGACGGAGGTAATAATGGCAGCGTCACAGAATCACCTGAGATAAGGTGTAGAAAACCCTCTGTGAACTGTGAGCCTGAAGTGACGCAGATTTTAGTCGTTGCTAATAACAGAAAGGTGGTGCTATTCCTTTGGGCTTCTGTGTTGCTGGCATTCGATACATTTTTATTATTCAACAAAGAATTATGTGAGGTACCTGAGGCTTCAACAGGGAACAAAACAGACAAAATCTCAGCTCTCCTGGAGCTCATGTTCTAGGTCTGGAGTATAATAGGAAGCTAATACCTTAACAGTGATTAGTGTGGGCCAGATGCTGTTCTAAGTGCTTTCATACTTTACCCTATTTAATTCTTGCAGCAATGCCTTGAAGTGTAGCACTGTTATTATTCCCATTTTGCAGATTTGGAAATCAAAGCAAATTTTTAAGCAGATTGCCTCAGGTCACAATTCCAGGATTCAGATTCAGGCAGAGCTGGCTTCTTACTTACCCCTGTGCCATTAGAACGCTTAGCTCATTCATGGCGTACTAGTGTTTGATACAAATAAAAAAGGTAGGCCCTGATTGAAATTATCCCTAAACAAGTAAGTGTTCTCTTCTTGTGGGAGAAAAAAGACAAAAACAAATGAAAAAAATGGCAGTACACAGTTTTCTGTGGATGGGGGTATATTAATATTCTTACATAGAAAAGTATTTTTCTTCCTAACTTTTTATAGGCTTCACCAACTTTCTTGGTTTCTTTAGATACAAATGGCCACCTCAGTGGAAGGAAGCCATTTTCCTGCTGGTACTTTGGAAGAATCGCTTCTTGAATGAAGCTCCTTCTTGTTTACAATTCTTCTTTTTCTCCTGCTGCTGTCTCCTTACCTTGGGGCAGTTCCCTTCTCTGATTTCCCCTGTTCTCTGGTCCTCCTTTGCTCACAGCTGTGGTGTCCCTTCCCAGTCTCATCAGCTGCCCATGTTCTCAAGGATTTCCTTCCTTCTGCCTTTGCCTTCTCTTCCCTAGCCTGCCTCTGTCAGTCACCTTGGGCCTTACCCTCTGTTTTGGCTTTTCTGAGTTTATTCATTGGGACTAACATCAGGACCAACTTCCTGCCTCTGGCTCTGCCCTGCCAGCTCTTGTTTCTCCTTCATGGGCAGGGAAGATTGGGAAATGGGCAGTGAGCATTCCTTAAGTTTGCATCAGGATTAGGACACGGGTCTCACTCCTTTTAAGGAGGGTTAGGAGGGTATTATGGCTTGCATACTTGTGGGTTTTTTTTTTAATATTGTTAAAATATACATAACATAAAATTTACCATTTTAATCATTTTAGCATACAATTCAGTGTCATTAAGTGCACTCACATTGTTGT